CCAAGGCATGCAGAGGGTTTTTTAAAGTTTATTTACCTCTTCAAAATCATGGTGTGTTTTATACTCTGGTGCGTCTTATAGTCCAAAAAATACAGTAATAACTACATTATATAAGTGTTAAAAGCCAAGGATTTTTCCTGATTTTTAATTCAGGAAATGTTCTTTTCTACAGAAGTATAACTTAGTCAGTTTGTTCTCCCACTCCATTTTAATTCATCATTGCCACTTAGATGTTGCATGGTTTTCCTTGAAACAGTTAGAATCTTGTCTTGCTCAGAGTTTTCCCTTTTCTTTTCTCCTCTTTCTGTGTGGAAGCTGGGGGATGACAGGGACCGCTGTGGGCTGTTGAGTACGGAGAAGGTGTCAGCAGCTGATTCACATATTTTGGAAGAGCAGCAGTTGCACCAGAAGGTGAGAAGATGAGCACCATCCCAATCAAGCTAATGATTTTCACAAATCAGCTCCATTTCTTCAGAGACTAAAGGGGACTTTTTTATATTTTGGGGGGTAAAAATATAGCACAGATGTGTAGAAGTATAAGCTCTAACATAAACAATGCTTGTTGGCCTTAAACATCTGTGCCATTCTGATTGATTGCATCTCTTGATATTATTTTTCTCTTCCTGTCAAACCACTACTAGGAAAGCTCCTTGAATGGAAGTAATGATAATTTGCACTCTTTTTAAAAAAAATTGGAATTGTAGGTTCCAGCCCTGGCTTATGAGCATGTTCAGAATATCAATTCCCCATCAGTAGAACAGGAATAGTAATGGTCAGCTTAATAAAAGCGAAGTAAGATACTGATGCACACTTGTACTTTTGAATTTGCCCCATCAATGTAAAAAAAGAAAGTCATGTTTCAGAATTAGCTGCTTGTCTGCTTTCTTTATCTTTCTTCCAAACTGCTGTTTTAACTTATTGAACAAATAGCAAGAGCCCAGTCTTGTGATTGAATTGAGAAAGGCTTGTATATGTACCCATTTTTTTCAATAGCCCTTTGTAAAAGAAATGCAGTGGTTCAAACTGTTGAGTGAAGTACTATTGTAAACACTTAATTCCTTTCCTTTTTTTCCTGAATTTTCTTTATAAAATTTTTTGCCCCAAAGGATACAAAGATTCTTATGGTGTTGGGTGCATCACACAGTTGCATTTTTGACAGAAGATCTCTCTATTATTTGAGACTTCTGTAAATCTCTTGTTTC